ACATTTTAGTCACCCTCCTCTGGACATATCCCAGCTTGTCAGCTCTTCAATTGTGGTGGCCAGAATTGAACATAGTATTCCAGGTGTAGTCTGACCAAGGCGGAATAGAGGGATTTCCTGTTTAATTGTGCAGTCCTGACTTCAGAGCCTTCCAAACAGGCCCTTTATTCCAAGATCTGATCCCAGGTTTTCTGTTTATCCCAGATAATCTGGCAGTGCAGACTCATATAATCCAGTTTAAAGCAGAAAACCTGGGATCAGATCCTGGGTATATATAGGGCCTGTCGGGAAAGGCCCTTGGAAAGTTGTTGTTCTACTCCAGAAACTTCATTTTTGGGGCACAATCTCTGTTTTTCTTTTTGATTTAGCGTCAGGAATGACTTGAGAAACTGCAAGCCTCTTCTGGTGTGAGAATCATAGAGTTGGAAGAGACCTTGTGGGCTATCTAGTCCAACCCCCTGCCAAGAAGCAGGAAAATCGCATTCAAAGCACCCACGACAGATGGCCATCCAGCCTCTGCTGAAAAGCCTCCAAAGAAGGAGCCTCCACCGCACTCCGTGGCAGAGAGTTACACTGCTGAACAGTTCTCAAAGTTAGGAAGTTCTTCCTAATGTTCAGGTGGAATCTCCTCTCTTGTAGTTTGAAGCCATTGTTCCGCATCCTAGTCTCCAGGGAAGCAGAAAACAAAGCTTGCTCCCTCCTCCCTATGGCTTCCCCTCACATATTTATACATGGCTATCATGTCTCCTCTCAGCCTTCTCTTCTTCAGGCTAAACATAACCAGCTCTTTAAGCCGCTCCTCACAGGACCATTTAAGTATTGGCCATCTGCAAGGTTGTTACCCAGGGAGTGCCTGGATGTTTAATGTTTTACCATCCTTATGTCCCCACATAATAATAATATAATAATAATAAACTTTATTTGTACCCTGCTACCATCTCCCCAAGGGACTCGGTGCGGCTTACATGCGGCCAAGCCCAAAGTACATCAAACAAAACATCAACAAACACAACATCAGTAAACAATCAATAAAATACAAATCATAAATCACATAAACAAAAACAATCAATGGTGACATATAAAAAATTTAAAAATGGCCGGGCCACATATAATAGATTAAAATTGAAAATATGCTGATGTGAACAAGGTAAAAATAACTGGGATAGGATTTTTCAGAGAGAAATGAGGGAACGCAATCCATCCTAAGTCAATATTAAAGTGCATTATGAGGGCATATTGCTGAGAGTTCTCCTTATTCTGGGAAGGCACACTGGAACAACCACGTTTTCAGGCTTCTCCTAAAGACTGCCAACATTGGGGCATGTCTGATGTCCCTGGGAAGTGAGTTTCAGAGTCGAGGGGCCACCACCGAGAAGGGGTGGCTGGAGCTGACAGAGGAAGCTCAACCTGCTCTCCCTGGATTCAAACCGCTGACCTGTTGGTCAGCAGCCTTGCCAGCACAAGGGTTTTAACCCATTGTTGAATTGGCTGAGACTGGAGGAGATATTAATTGAAAACCTAAAGCAAAACAATGCTGCAGGGTGTCCCGCACAAAGTTTGAGCAGTTTAATAAACTTTTCCCCATGTTCATTATAATAAAGCCAATTAGGAAATGACACTGAGAACCCAGGAACAATAATCATGCTACAGAGTGTAATTTTCTGTCAAAAGTATTCCTGCACAGCAGTGTTTCTCAACTTGGGGGTCGGGATCCCTAGGGGGTCGCGAAGGGGTTTCAGAGGGGTTGCCAAAGACCATCAGAAAACATATATTTCTGATGGCCTTAGGAACCCCCTTTGCAGAGAAGGCTGAAGATCTCTCTGCCTGTCCTTCTCTTCCTTTTTGGAAACAGACAGTGAATCCTCCTATCAAAAGCCATCCTCCACTATGGTAGGCTGCCCTGTCAAGAGGATCACTGATTCTGAGACTCCAAGTAGGGAGGGGACAGTAGGCATGCTTGGTGCATGGCAGCATAGTGTGCATGTTCGGGCAAGGATTGGTGAGGTTCAGAATGCTCTTTGATTGTATGTGAACTATAAATCCCAACAACTACAACTTCCAAATGTCAAGGTCTATTTTCCCCAAGCTCCACCAGTGTTCAGATTTGGGCATATTGAGTATCTGTGCCAATATGATACAGATCTATCATTGTCAGAGGGGTCATTGAAGACCGTCAGAATATACAATATTTTCTGTTGGCAATGGGGGTTCTGTGTGGGAAGCTTGGCCCAATTCTATCGTTGGTGGGGTTCAGAATGCTCTTTTATTGTAGATGAACTATAAATCCAAACTCCACTCACATTTGGACATACTGAATGTTTGTGCCAAGTTTGGTCCAGATCCATCATTGTTTGAGTCCACAGTGCTCTCTGGATGTAGGTGAACTACAACTCCAAAGCTCAAGATCAATGCCCACCAAACCCTTCCAGTATTGTCTGTTGGTCATGGGAGTTCTGTGTGCCAAGTTTGGTTCAATTCCATCATTGGGGGAGTTCAGAATGTTCTTTGATTGTAGGTGAGCTACAAATATCAGCAACCACAACTTCCAAATGACAAAATCCAACCCCCCCCCCCCCCCCCCCCCCCAACCAAGCAGTATTGAACTTTGGGTGCATCGGGTATTTGTGCCAAAGTTGGTCCAGTGAATGAAAATACATCCTGCATATCTGATGTTGACATTACGATTCATAACAGTGGCAAAGTTACAGTTATGAAGTAGCAACAAAAATAATGTTATGGTTGGGGAGTCACCACAACATGAGGAACTGTGGTAAGGGGTCGCAGCACCAGGAATGTTGAGAACCAATGGTTTAACTCATTATTTAATTGGTTGAGACTAGAGGGAAAAAAACTCTGGTACTGACACTGAGAACTGGAAAGTCCTGGCCCTTGAGCGCTTCAGCTGGAGGTCAGCTGTGACCAGTAGTGCTGTAGAATTTGAAGAGGCATGAATGGAGGGCAAAAGAGAGAAATGTGTCAAGAGGAAAACACATCCAGCCAACCCCGACCGAGACTGCCTTCCACCTGGAAACCAATGCCCTCACTGCGGGAGAAGATGCAGATCAATAATAGGGCTCCATAGTCACCTACGGATCCACCAGTACACCAGTCTTGGAAGACTATCCTACTCGGATAATGAGGGATCGCCTGAGTAAGTAAAGTACTGGAGGAGACATTCAGTGAAAAACTAAAGCGGAATGTGCCCGCACAAACAAAGTTGTGACCGTTTAATAAACTTTCCCCCATGTTCTTTATGATAGAAGCAATTCAGAAATGACACTGAGAACCCAGGAGCGACAACAGTGTTACAACATAGTGTAATTTTCTATCAAAAGTGTTCCTGGAAAGCACAGAGTTGCAATTTGGGATAATTTTCAACTTTGGGATTGTTTCCTGGAGGGAGGTTGGAAGGATCAGAACTTCTCTCCCACGATGGGAAAAGGGCTTGGAAAGGACACAATCTCCCTTCCCCCCTTTGACTGTCAAAAATGTTCCTGGAAAGCACAGAGTTGCAATTTGGCACACTTTTCAACTTTGGACTTGTTTCCTGGAGAGGAGTTGGAAGGAGCAGAACTTCTCTCCAGGATGAGAAAAGGGCTTTTAATGGAAACAATCCCCCCTTGAGTGAGATCCAAAAGAACCTCGAATCCCCCAAAGCTCCCCATTTGAGCCCCAGAGGGACAGAAGTAATACATCCCTCCGAACAGGAGAAGCTCAGCTCTGAAAGGGACGCGACTTGCAATGCAGTTGGGCACTGTTTCCACTGTCTTGGCTCAATGCTGTGCAGATGCAGTTTGACAAAAAGGACTTCCAGTCTTCTCTGATAAGCATCCCATAGCATTCAGCTCTGTCTTGAGATGCGAGTGGGTGCATTGAGATGCGAGTAGGACTGGAGAAGGGAAGGGAGAGAGAGGCAAATGGTCTCATTGCAAAAGTGTTCCTGGAAAGCACAGAGTTGCAATTTGGCACACTTTTCAACTTTGGGCTTTTTTCCTGGAGAGGAGTTGGAAGGATCAGAACTTCTCTCCCAGGATGGGAAAAGGGCTTGGAAAGGACACAATCCCCCTCCCCACTTCACTGTCAAAACTGTTCCTGGAAAGCATAGAGTTGCAATTTGGCACACTTTTCAACTTTGGGTTTGTTTCCTGGAGAGGAGTCGGAAGGAGCAGAATTTCTCTCCCAGGATGAGAAAAGGGCTTCAAATGGAAACAACCCCCCTTTGAGTGAGATCCAAAAGAACCTGGAATCCCCCAAAGCCCCCCATTTGAGCCCCAGAGGGACAGAAGTGACGCATCCCTCCAAACAGGAGAGAGAAACTCCGCTCTGTGTGGGGCGCATCTCCCAATGCAGTTGGATACTGCTTCCACTATCCTGGCTCAATGCTGTGCGGATGCAGTTTGAAGAGAAGGACTTCTCTGATAAGCATCCCATAGCATTGAGCTCTTTGTCTTGAGATGCGAGTGGGTGCATTGAGATGCGAGTGGGACTGGAGAAGGAAAGGGAGAGAGAGGCAAATGGTCTCATTGCAAAAGTGTTCCTGGAAAGCACAGAGTTGCAATTTGGCACACTTTTCAACTTTGGGTTTGTTTCCTGGAGAGGAGTCGGAAGGATCAGAACTTCTCTCCCAGGATGAGAAAAGGGCTTCTAATGGAAACAATCCCCCTTTGAGTGAGATCCAAAAGAACCTGGAATCCCCCAAAGCCCCCCATTTGAGCCCCAGAGAGACAGAAGTGGCGCATCCCTCCAAACAGGAGAGAGAAACTCAGCTCTGAATGGGATGCATCTCGCAAATGCAGTTGGGCACTGTTTCCACTGTCTTGGCTCAATGCTGTGCGGATGCAGTTTGAAGAGAAGGACTTCTCTGATAAGCATCCCATAGCATTGAGCTTTGTCTTGAGATGCGAGTGGGTGCATTGAGATGCGAGTGGGACTGGAGAAGGAAAGGGAGAGAGAGGCGAATGGTCACATTGCAAAAGCAAAAGGGAGCTCCCCACGCTCACCGTTGGTGCTGGTCAGGTTGCCCAGATCGAGGAGGTTAAGCCCGGCGTCCGAGGAGGAGTTGAGGCGGAGTAGGAGCTCCGATGAGTTGCCCAAGGCGTCCCCGGCTGCTAGAGAGTCGGCGAAAAGGTTCATTTGCAGCAACGTCTGGAGCAGGTAGCGCAACATCCCGGCCGCCCCTCCGGCCCCACGACGCCGCCTGTGCCGGCATCCGAGGAGGAAAAGGAGGAGGAAGCAGAGCAGCAGAGCCGCAGCCACCCCCAGCAGTGCCCGCCGCCGGCCTCTGCAGCTTCCTCTGCACCTCCTGGCTCGCCCGCCTTCGCAGAGCTCTCTCTCCTCTCCCCTCCTTCTTTCCTTCCTTCCTTCTCTCCTTGGGACTGGTCTCCCTCCTCCCAGGCAGAAAGCAGGTGCCGCCACCAATAAATGTTTAATTATCGGATTAATAACTCTCCCTGGAGAGGTGGGGAGGGGGCGAGGAGGTGGGGAAGAGGCGACCCTCCCTTCCCGCCCTCTTCTCCCCCCCTTACACAACACTCCCCTGCCTGCCTTTGCTCTCCAAAGTAAGACAAGGATGGAGTAAGGAATGGGAAAGAAAGGGTCGGGTTTAGGAAATAGTCATGGAAGCCTTGAGTTGGAAGAGACCTCATGGGCCATCCAGCCCAACTCCATTCTGCAGGAAAATCGCTTTCAAAGCACCCCCAACAGATGGGCATCCAGCCTCTGCTTCAAAGCCTCCAAAGATGGAGCCATCACTACACTCCAGGGCATAGAGTTCCACTGCTGAACAGCTCTTCCCATCCAGCTTCTGCTTCAAAGCCTCCAAAGATGGAGCTTCCACGACACTCCAGGGCAGAGAGTTCCACTGCTGAACAGCTGGTACAGTCAGTAAGTTCTCAGAATCATAGAGTTGGAAGAGACCTCGTGGGCCATCCAGTCCAACCCCCTGCCAAGAAGCAGGAAAATTGCTTTCAAAGCACCCCCAACAGATGGGCATCCAGCCTCTGCTTCAAAGCCTCCAAAGATGGAGCCTTCACTACACTCCAGGGCAGAGAGTTCCACTGCTGAACAGCTCTGCCCATCCAGCTTCTGCTTCAAAGCCTCCAAAGATGGAGCCTTCACTACACTCCAGGGCAGAGAGTTCCACTGCTGAATAGGCTGGATGCCCATGTACAGTCAGTACAGTCAGTAAGTTCTTAGAATCATAGAGTTGGAAGAGACCTCCTGGGCTATCCAGTCCAACCCCCTGCCAAAAAGCAGGAAAATCGCATTCAAAGCACCCCCATCCAGCCTCTGTTTAAAAGCCTCCATAGAAGGAGCCTCTGCCACACTCCGGGACAGAGAGTTCCACTGCTGAACAGCTAATACCGTCAGTAAGTTCTTAGAATCATAGAATCCTAGAGTTGGAAGAGATCTCATGGGCCATCCAATCCAACCCCCTGCCAAGAAGCATTCAAAGCACCCCCGACAGATGGCCATCCAGCCTCTGCTTCAAAGCCTCCAAAGATGGAGCCTCCACTACACTCCAGGCAGAGAGTTCCACTGCTGAACAGCTAGTACAGTCAGTAAGTTCTTAGAACCATAGAGTTGGAAGAGACTTCATGGGCCATCCAGTCCAACCCCCTGCCAGGAAGCAGGAAAATTGCACTCAAAGCACCCACGACAGATGGCCATCCAGCCTCTGTTTAAAAGCCTCCATAGAAGGAGCCTGTACCACACTCCAGGGCAGAGAGTTCCACTGCTAAACAGCTCTCACAGTCAGGAAGTTCTTCCTAATGTTCAGGTGGAATCTCCTTTCCTGTAGTTTGAAGCTATTGTTCTGCATCCTAGTCTCCAGGGAAGCAGAAAGCAAGCTTGCTCCTTCCTCCCTATGACTTCCTCTCACGTATTTATACGTGGCTATCATGTCTCCTCTCAGCCTTCTCTTCTTCATGCTAAACATGATCAGCTCTTTAAGCCACTCCTCATAGGGTTTGTTCTCTGGACCCTTGATCATTTTAGTCACCCTCCTCTGGACACATTCCAGCTTGTCAACATCTCTCTTCAATTGTGGTGCCCAGAATTGGATACAATATTCCTGGCGTGGTCTAACCAAGGCAGATGGAGTTTTGCCTCCTAGGTAAAGAATGGGAAAGAAAGGGTCGGGTTTAGGAAATAATCATGGAATCCTAGAGTTGGAAGAGACCTCGTGGGCCATCCAGTCCAATTCCATTCTGCCAAGACATAGGAAAATAGTGTTCAAAGCACTCCCGACAGATGCTCATCCAGCCTTTGTTTCAAAGCCTCCAAAGATGAAGCCTGCACTACACTCCAGGGCAGAGAGTTCCACTGCCGAACAGCTGGTACAGTCAGGAAGTTTTTCCTCATGTTCAGGTGGAATCTCATTTCCTGTAGTCCAGCGGTCCTCAGCCTTCCTCTGGCCATGAGCAATTCAATCTAAATGGCCTTCAGTGTTAGGCAGAGTCATTGGTATCCAAAGAGTTTTGATGCGAGTAGGCTGGGAACTCTGCTCCAGGTTTTAGTCCAGCGTTTCTCAACCTGGGGGTCAGGACGCCCTGGGGGGTTGCAAGGGGGTGTCAGAAGGGTTGCCAAAGATTATCAGGAAACATTGTATTCTCTGTTGGTCATGGGGGCTCAGTGTGTGAAGTTTGACCCAGTTCTATCATTGGTGGGGTTCAGAATGCTCTTTGACTGTAGGTGAACTATAAATCCCAGCACTCACAACTCCCAAATGTCAAGGTCTATTTTCCCCTAACTCCATCAGTGTTCATATTTGAGTATATTGAGTATTTGTGCCAAGTTCGATCTAGATCCATAATTGTTTGAGTCCACAGTGTTCTCTGGATATAGGTGAACTACAACTCCCAAACTCAAAGTTGATGCTCACCAATCCCTGCCAGTATTTTCTCTTTATCATGGGAGTTCTGTGTGCCAAGTTTGGTTCAGTTCCATCATTGGTGCAGTTCAGAATGCTCTTTGATTGTAGGTAAACTATAAATCCCAGCACCCACAACTCCCAAATGTCAAGGTCTATTTCCCCCAAACACTACTAGTGTTTACATTTGGGCATACTGAGAATTCGTGCCAAGTTTGTTCCAGATCCATCATTGTTTGAGCCTACGGTTCTCTCTGGATGTAGGTAAACTACAATTCCCAAAACTCAAGGTCAGTGCCCACCAAACCCTTTCTGAATGTGCTTTCTGAATGTAGGTGATCTACAACTCCAAAACTCAAGCTTAATGCCTACCAAACCCTTTCAATATTTTCTGTTGGTCATGTGAGTTCTGTGTGCAGAGGTAATTTTCAATGGTAAGCAAACAGTATTTTGCCCCCCCCCCCCAACCAATCACTGATATATATTTTCTGTTAGTCGTGGGAGTTCTGTGTGCCATATTTGGTTCAATTCTATCATTGGTGGAGTTCAGAATGCCCTTTGATTGTAGAGGAACTTACATCCCAGTAACTACAACTCGCATATGTCAAGGTCTATTTTCCCCCAAGAGCACCTCAAGAGTGCCCCTATACTGCAACTATACTGCAACTATACTGCAAATGCTTACTTTGCGTAACGGGTTGAGCCGCCCCTGTCTGTGTGCCCAGTTTGGTTCAATTCCATCATTGGTGAAGTTCGGAATGCTCTTTGATTGTAGGTGAACTATAAATCCCAGGAACTACAACTCCCAAATGACAAAGTTAACCCCCCCCCCCCAACCCCACCAGTATTCAAATTTGTGCATTTTGGGTATTTGTGCCAAATGTGGCCCAGTGAATGAAAATACATCCTGCATATCAGATATTTACATTACAATGCATAACAGTAGTAGAACTATAGTTATGAAGTAGCAACGAAAATAATTTTATGGTTGGGGGAGTCACCACAACATGACAAACTGTATTAAAGGGCCGCGACATTAGGATGGTTGAGAAACACTGTTTTAGTCTGTACTTTCAAGGGTCTGAAGGTGCCAGACTTTAAAAAAGGGTGATGTGTTCAGCACTTTGGACAGTTCCTTCTTTCTGAAAGGCAGAATAAGATCCCCAATCCAGCTCTGCAGAAATAAAATGGGAAATGAACTTCTGCTTTGTCTACAGAAGCCTCAAATTCAGTCTCTCACTCCTCCAGCTTCAAATGAGAATTTTAAAAAGATCCAGGAAAGTGCCTTCCCTGCCAGTCAGAGTGGCTTGAAGAACAAACAATCTGGTTTGGAAGAAAGCAGGCTGCAGTGTTCTTGCTTCCCAGCTGCTTCCCGGGCTCTTGCTCTCAAGGAATGGTGCACGTGGCAACCGCGTGGCAGCCCTGCCCGTGTCCACCCAGCCGCACACCTCTGCTGCTATGCGCCAGAGTCAGCATTTCCATGTTTCATCGTAAATGTCATCACTGCTGTGGGATGGCTGAAGAGGGAGTCCTGTACAGCGCAGCAGAAATGTGACAGGTTGCAAGAGATAGCGGCTTCCTTGCAATGCGGAATGATCAGCTAAGAAACTCACTATTGGACTGCTTTAGAAGAAATATCAGTCTTTTGTAGTAGGGAGGGAAGGAAGGAAGTAATCTAGCAGCACTTTTAAGACCAGTTCCTTTATATTTTAGCATAAATTCTCGTGCAGTGATGAAATGAAAGCAATGGGTTAGTGAAGACATTTAAAGAGAAGTTGTATTATCCCTGTTGCAAAATACTGTATATACTCGAGTATAAGCCTAGTTTTTCAGTGCCTTTTTTAGGCTGAAAAAGCTCCCCTCGGCTTATACTTGTGTCAAGGTTGTTTATTATTTTTCTCTATTTCATTTTTATTACATATATTATTTTTCTATATTTATTATTATTACATTTATGTTATTTTACACTATTACATTTGTGCTGTCACACGCTGGGCCGATAGCAATTGGCTTTTGAACAGGACGTGCTCTTTGTGCCCAGCGGGAAGCCGGGGTGCCTCAGCTGAGAGGCTCTAAGGATTGTCCTATACAAAAGTCTTTAGAAGCTTGAAAAGTTTAACAAGGTCCTTTATTATTGCTTAGGTCTTCAACAAAACAATCAAATACTTCTCAGATCTTCAACAGGTCCAACAAATACTTCAAGGCTTTGAATCAACTGGTGGCTTTCTTAATCGTGTCCACAAGGGACAGGCAACTGGCTTTGTGAACTGTTTCTTTAACTGTTTCTTTCCTTTAAGAGGAAAACCCTTTTAAACCCCTCTTTGGACAATCTGTATTTAGGCTTTGCTGGCATGGGGCCCCTACACCCAGTTCCAATTTGCGTTATGGCTGCCTCGAGAGGTCATTACCAGGCCAAAGT